CCCCCCCCTCCCCCCCTGAATCTCAATGCGCCCTGAACTAGTCAATTTTTGCAAATCTTGGTTGGCGCCAGACAGTTGCCACGCGCCAGTTGGTTACATCCGCCTTGCTCGTGAGAATCCAAAATATTCGTGACCCTTCCAGGCTCTTCCAGCAACGTGGTCGAGGCGGGGAGCACCGCACCTTGTGCCTGAGTGGTTGGGCATGCCTAACCAATTCGGTCCCAGGCCACTGTCTGAACGGGCCTGGGCGCAGACACTTTGGCCGAGACTGAAGCTACTGGAAACTCGGTCTGACGTGGGAAGCAAGTGGGAAAGCGCCCGCCACGTTCCATATAGGAAAGGGCTGGGCTCCAGTCGAGACATTTGGGCACTTGCAATTGCGGGCGGCAGCGCTGCTGGAGTGATCACTCGCGGGCTGCTTGCTGCGCTAGCGCTGGTGCTGCGTGGACGTGCAGGGTGAAGGGCGCTGCTGAGGGCAGCGCCATAGCCAGCCCCCATAGCCGAGCTTGGCTTGGACATAGCCAGTGGAGGTGGTGGTGGTCTTCGTGCATGAGAGGGAAGACGTGGGTAGTAGAAGTCGAGGGTGAGAGAGAGAGATGAGGTTGTGATGTGAGGGCACGTACCTGGTCTTGGCGATGGTCTACAAGGTCGACATCCTTACGTACTACGGTTGTTGCTGCTGACATCAACAGGATGCATTGTCAATTCGTAGGCTCCGAGTAGCTGTGTGATCGTAGTCTGGGCGCTGAGCGCCAAGTAGGGGGCAAGGCTCTGGATACATATGTTGGTGATGACGAGAGTATGCTCTCATTCAACCGATTGACATTTGGATTCGGTGCTTTGGTTCTCCGTTGGTGGAGTATCGGTGCATTTCTGCTTTCTGAACAGCGTTGGACTTGCTGGCTTTTTTCAATGTGATTTTGCACTCTGGATTTCTGTCATTTCGCTATTGCTCATTTTCCTTGTTTTTTTTTTTTTTTAAGAAAAAAAAAGTGCGACGGCC